TGGCTCTGCCCCAGGAAGTGCTTGGCTAGTGTTGGGCGTGGCTCTGCATACCCTATCCGGATGATGGTCTGCCACTGCGTTACAGGACGTGGACACTGCCTTCTTGGTGAAGGCTGACCTGGAAACCAACTTGGAGGCTCTAGAACACGAGATTGAGTTCCTGAAAGCCCTGTTTGAGGAGGTATTCACGGCCACGAGGTCTTCTGGGTGATCTGTCAGGCTAATTCCAGAGGGACATTGGTGGACAGGAGAGCCCAGACAAGCGCTAGAAGGACATCTCATGCACTCAGGGAGTGAGACTCCCCAAAGTCATCCACATAGATGGTTGTCAGGTCTCCCTCAGAGAAGCTCTGGGTTACCATAGGGATAAAGGGCAAAGACGAGGCAAGGAGGATAAGGAACACGGAGCAGGCTGGGGACTATAGGCCGGGAAGAGTAGGAACTGTAAGTAGTTGAACATTTGCGTGGCTTCTTCTCATGGCTGCTTGGTACTCACTCCTCCTGCGTGATCTCCTCAGGAGATCAGCCTGCTGCAATCTCAGATCTCAGAGACTTCAGTCATTGTGAAGATGGACAACAGCCGGGAACTGGATGTGGACGGCATCATAGCCGAGATCAAGGCCCAGTATGACGACATCGCCAGCCGCAGCAAAGCAGAAGCAGAGGCCTGGTACCAGTGCCGGGTAAGGCTGAGGTGCATAGGGGCTGAGAGAAACATCAGAGCAGAGGAGGGAGCAAAGGCAGAGAGCAGGGAGAAGCAGAAGACAGGGTCCCGGTGCTCTCTGTTCCAAGAATAACTAAAGACCTAACATGTCTGGGCCACTCCCCAGCACCAAGGAATCCACAGAAACCTTGGAAACTGCTGTTTCTGCCAGGTCAGGTCTCTGCACAGCAGAAGGATCCCACACACAGGCCAGCCCTGTCACCAGGGTGCCAGGTCCCCGGCTCTATTTATCCATAGACTCACTAGAGTGGCCCTCTAAGCAGCATGCAATCAGTGTAATTGGTATTGGTGGCAGAGAGGGTTCTGAGCTTCACAGTGTAGGTGGAGGCCTCTGGCTTGGGTGTTACTGGTGCTGGAGCAGAAACAGTGATTAAGGGTGCTCCAGACTTCGTAATTAGGGGCTTGCTGGGAGGGCAAGGGGAGCCCTGGGGCAACTGGATCTAACAAGTCATGTCATCTCAGCCTCAATGGCTTGTCTGTGTAATGTAGTATACATACTCTCATCCCCTGGCTCCCAGGGCCAGCAACTGCTCGTTGAGCATCTCTCACGTGCAGAGCATAGAGCATGGAGCTGCAGATGCAGCAAGGGGACCAAGATGGGCAGAAAGCCTGCCTTCCTATCATTTTCCTTCTTAGAGACAGAGCCAAGGTCAGGCAATAAACATGACAGGGTACCAGGGTACCAGGGAGGGGTGTCATGTGGTGACACACAGAGTCACCATGAAGAGGATGAGGGAGGGTGACCCTCAGAGGTGCTGTGGTGTGTGGCTTTAAATAGGATAGCAGAAGATGGTGAGGGTAAATTGTCCCTGTTGGAAGGAGTCTATGCTCCCATCGGGAAAGACACTGGTCCAGCCACACCCAAGTCCATGGGACCACTCAGCAGTTTCCAAGGACAAGCAGAGGGCTTCCACAGGTAGCAGGAGGGGCAGCACATGGAGTCTGGACAAATAGGGGCATTGACATTTGACCTACTCTTAAAGGACACATGATGTCCACAAGCAGAGGGCAGGGGAAGGGCAGCTAACTTAATTTTTTTTTCCACTTTGAATCTGATTTCTGATTGTTAGTTTGTCTGCTTATTCTTTTGAAGTCAGCCAAAGCAAGACATCATATGGCTTTCGTTTTGACTGTCCAACTCCAGGTTGAACATACAATCCTTCTAAAGTCCTCAGGACATGGAAAATGGAAATAGCCCTCAGGAGAGCTCAGGCTCTGGGGCAGAGAAGGGGCCAGATGCAAAAGGAGGAATCTAGGAGTGTAGGGATCAGAGATTGGGACTGCATGACATAGGAATGAGAGCAGCCTCATGAGGCCCCTGGCATCGATGAGAACCGGAAAAGGAACGGGATGCGGGATAAGTATGGTCATGGAGCACAGTCGTGGAGCACCTAAGCTAGGAAGAAATGGGATGGGATGTGGGATAAGTATGGTCATGGAGCACAGTCGTGGAGCACCTAAGCTAGGAAGAAATGGGATGGGATGTGGGATAAGTATGGTCATGGAGCACTGACATGGAGCACCTAAACTAGGAAGAAACAGGATGTGGGATAAGTATGGTCATGGAGCACAGTCATGGAGCACCTAAACTAGGAAGAAATGGGATGAGGGATAAGTATGGTCATGGAGCACAGTCATGGAGCACCTAAACTAGGAAGAATCAGGATGTGGGATAAGTATGGTCATGGAGCACTGACATGGAGCACCTAAGCTAGAAAGAAATGGGATGTGGGATAAGTATGGCCATGGAACACAGTCATGGAGCACCTAAACTAGGAAGAATCAGGATGTGGGATAAGTATGGTCATAGAGCACCTAAGCTAGGAAGAAATGGGATGTGAGATAAGTGTGGTCATGGAGCACAGTCATGGAGCACCTCAGCTAGGAAGAAATGGGATGTGGGATAAGTATGGTCATGGAGCACTGACGTGGAGCACCTAAGCTAGGGAGAAACGGGATGTGGGATAAGTATGGTCATGGAGTACAATCATGGAGTACCTAAGCTAGGAAGCTATTGGGCAAGAGGCTGGGGACAGTGAGGAAGAGGACAAGAGATGACATGGTGAAGGGCCAGGGTCTCTTCTTTCTGCCCCGGCAGTATGAGGAGCTGAGGTTGACAGCTGGGAACCACTGTGACAACCTACGCAACCGCAAGAATGAGATCCTGGAGATGAACAAGCTAATCCAGCGGCTGCAGCAGGACATTGAGACAGTCAAAGGCCAGGTGAGGTCCCGGAGTGGCCGGGAGAACCCACCAGAGGTCTGCTTTCCTGCTGGGCCATGCAGGGCGCAACAAACCTTGTCAGTGAGGAAGAGACAAGCCCAGGCCACCTTGTCTCACAGGAAGCAAGCTGCCTCTACAAGCTACCCACCAGCCACATGAGCAGCCCCACAAAGTCTGGTTCCCTGCTGTCAAAGACGTAGTGAGGCAGAGGACCAAATTTAGTCTCTCACTCTGCAATCCTGACGTGACTAAGTTGCTTATAAAATTAGACCTACTAAATTCTCCTAGGCTTGTGAGATCCAGCCAGTCACTACGATCTACTTAATTAGCCACAACTCCATCCCTGTTCCTCTGTGTTTCTAGTCCCAGTAACACCTTCCTGTGCCCTCTCCCCAGCGATGCAAACTCGAGGGAGCCATTGCCCAGGCAGAGCAGCAGGGGGAGGCCGCCCTCACTGATGCCAAGTGCAAGCTGGCAGGGCTGGAGGAGGCCTTGCAGAAGGCCAAGCAGGATATGGCCTGCCTGCTCAAGGAGTACCAGGAGGTGATGAACTCCAAGCTGGGGCTAGACATCGAGATCGCCACCTACAGGCGCCTGTTGGAGGGCGAGGAGCACAGGTGAGCACAAAGAGGCACCAGAGCAGCTGTTATCCTGCCTCCCTAGGGCAGCTGCTGCTGTCAGCATCCTACAGTCTAGGGAAGCAAAGCACATCTTTCTGTCCCGGCAGAAACACAATGAGAGCAGAAAGCAGGGTTCCCTTCGAGGCAGGAGCCTGACCTCTTTTCCCTTCTTTCTCTAGGTTGTGTGAAGGCATCGGGCCTGTGAATATCTGTAAGTAACTAAGTCGTGAATCCTGGACTCTGGGTCTGGGATTTTGGTAGAATTCCCAGGTGGAAACCCACCACATTCCACCCAGCCCTCCAGAGTTTCTCATATCCCCACGGGATGAGCTTGTCTGCCATACTTCCTGTGTGGGTGGAGAAAATCCAGGAGGGCTGCCTACCCAAGCCACCATCTGAACAAAGGGTGCTTTGCTGTTAGCAGCAGGTTCAGGAGAGAGGTGCAAGGCAAGAAGAATCTGAGAGGGGTCATACATTAGTCCCAGCTTCACCCAGGCTCCAGGGAAAGAGGGAGTGGATATATGGAGTGCTTCCAAGCGTTGGGTATGATTAGAATGGTAGATGGGTCCTTAGAGGCAGAAGTACTGTGAGGTTCAGAGACTGAGGTGGCCCAGGGTGGGTGCTGGTCCATGTGGGGCACTGAGCATGCTTTCCTGTCCCCACAGCTGTCAGCAGTTCCAAAGGTGCCGTTCTCTATGAGCCCTGTGTGGTGGGCACGCCCATGCTGAGGTCCGAATACTGCACCGGGACCACAGGTGTCCTCAGAAACAGTGGGGGCTGCAGCGTGGTGGGCACCGGTGAACTCTACATCCCCTGTGAGCCCCAAGGGCTCCTGAGCTGCGGAAGTGGGCGGAGCTCCAGCATGAAGATGGGGGTGGGTAGCAATTCATGCAGCCGCTAGTGTTAGCGCTACTCAGATTCTGAAAATCCTAGATATCATATCTTTACAGGGCCGAAGACCAGACTATTTCAAAACTCTCCCTTCCCACACCAACTACACATTGCCCTAGGATACTCCTGGGAGCTGAGCTACTCTCAACTCCTGCTCTGCCCTAGGATACTCATGGGAGCTGAGATACTCCCAGCCCTGCTCACATCTTCAAAGCCACACTTCACATACCTAGATGCAGACCCCAAGATGGACATAGAGTATGTGGGGACACAGAGAAGGGGGCTTTATTGTCTTTGTCACCTGGGGTAGCAAGTCAACTCTAATATGGTCAAGAGAATGGCTATAATCTAATCCATTTCTCTCCAGGAGAGATGGCCAGCTGGACACACTATAGCTCTACTTTGTAAAAGGCTCCACACCACTTTCCTCATGACAGCCCTGTCCTTTCTACCCCATACCCAAGCCTTCTCAGCTCTTCTCCCTCTGACTCTCAAATACCTAAGAAAATTGAACTCATAGCACCCACCTGAGTCATGAAGTGCTATAAAAAAAAATCAAAAGGACACCCCATTCGCATTCTAAATCTCAAAACCAAAGTCTACAATCAGAGCTTCAGGGTCACTGGGCACTGTGTCTCCTGAGCATCCAGACTCTAGGATGGTGGGTTGTTGAGCTCAAAGTAAAATACAGCTTATTGGCAGCTGACGGCAAGACATGCCTAAAATGAAGGTAATGCTGCTCAGACAGTGAAGAGCCAGTCTTGGTTACTACGCCTTAGCCCAAGCCCCACCTACCTCTGTACATAGCCACTGCTTCCTGCCCCCCCCCCTTGTTTAGTCCCCTCCAGTTTTGAGGCTTGGGTCAAATAGAAGCACAGTTCACCCATACAGTGGTGTGGGGCTGCCCCAGTCACTTGGAGGCTCATTTAGGTTCTGAGAGAGGGAAGAGATACTAGGCTGACATACAAATCCTGTGTGCCCGGAGTTCAGGTTCTCTCTGAGGAGTCTCTGAGCTGCCTGTTTTCAATAAACTGACTCTGTTCACACTCTAGAAACCAAAAATGTCTCACCCTGCTCGGTGTAGGGTTGTGATAAAGGTAAGGGAACTCACAAGGAGCCCTCAAGGACTTCAGTCTAGGGACAGAAATGAAGGAGTTACACTTATGGGAAAACGTCACATACATGATGTATGAGTGGCCTGTGGAATAAACATGACGCTGTACAATTCATACCAAAAACCTGCATATCACACATGTGCAAGAACCTCTCCATGTTATGAACAGCACGTGTTATGCACAACGTCTCCATTTCATGGACACACATATATCTAGAGGTCACTCATATGACCCCATCATTCTATGTCAAGACGTATCATCTCCCATCTCCACCACTCGTCCCCATGGCCTCAAAGCTCCCACCTGGGGAAAGCTCTGGAAATGAGTAACATCTGGCCTGGGAGGAAGATCATGACACTCCCCTAACATCTCCTCATTTAAGAAGCCAAAGGACTCAGAGCCAAACCTGGAGGCCAGCTGTCCCACCCTTCATGAGATCCTAGGACCCTCCCTGCTGGCTGCATTTACCTCAGAGTTCACCCTTCCTCGAGAGCTTTCTGTCCCTTGTGGTGGCCCCTGCTGGAATCAGAACGAGCCTCCTCCTTCCCACCACCACATTCAGAGCCTCCATCTTATGCAGAGCCCTGAGCTAGAGGCCCTGAGATGAGAAACAGGCCATGCTAACCTCCGAGAATTTTGAACCAGACTGTGCAACCATAGATAATATTCAAAACAAGCTAGTGATTGTGCTGAAAGCCAGTCAGAGAGGCTCACAGAGACCCAAGAGCAGAGTGTGATGAGAAGCCTGGAGCTGCAGATTCTAGGCAGCTTATTTAAAAGAGTTCTCTCATCCATTTTTTTGTTAAGGCAATCTATTTTTGCTTTGTGTTTTACTTTTGAGATAGGGTCTCTCTATGAAGTCCTGGCTGTCCTGGAACTTGCTGTGTAAACCAGGATAGCCTCAAACTCAGAGATCCTCCTGCCTCTGCTTCCTGAGAGCTGGAATTAAAGGCCACCACACCCAGCCAACAACAGATATTATTTAGTATCTGCCTGAGTCAGGCTGCCAGGTGCTAATAGTACAGAGATGAAGGAGACATCCCTCCATGTAAGTAACAATACTAAGGACCCTTAGATAGGATAGAGAGGCAAGACTATGGGGTACCTTTGCCAGACCTGTGCCAAGGTGTGCCACTAAGAAATTATGCCACTCAACAGATCTAGTGTAAAAGGTTTATTGGGGGAGGGGGGAGAGCAAAAGGCTGCCTTGGAGTGAGGACATGAAAGAGACAGACAGACAGACAGACAGACAGACAGACAGACAGAAAAGGAACAGGGTTGGGGGGAGATCTGGGGTGACCAAGACCTTTTATGAACCACTCCTGCTACATCTGAAGTACTTAGAGGTGTCAGGTGATGATATAATCTGCTGCCTGTCCCTGAAATTAGGCTGATGGAAATACCTGATTGCTAAAACCTGTGACAGGATGCTAACTGGCACAATCACGGCTGAGAAGGGACTGTTGGTTTCCAAAATTATTACACATAGAGTTACCTAGCCAGTCCACTCCTAGATACATACCCAAGAGAAATGAGCATCTGTTTCCACAAAAAAAAAAAAAACCTGCTACATTGTTTATAATAACTAAGACTTGGAAACAATTCAGATATCCATCGACAGATGAGCAAAATGATATGGCACAGTCGGACAATGAAATGTTACTTTATTCCTGAGAAGGAACAGGATGCTAATGAGTGCTACAACATGGGCAATCCTTGAAGCATAAAAAATGAAGGATAACTCCTTAGGGCCAGACAGAGAGGAAGCTAGGAGCCGCCAGGGAAATAATGGCAGCTGCAAACATCAGTGAACACATGGAAACTTTACCAAGTCCCCTTAAATAAGCATGTTGTGTGGAGTCGTGCATTGTATTCTGGGGCTTTTAAGAGCAGCTTAATGGGAGTACAAAACTGAAGCATTGATTATAGTCCGTTGTCTGACATAAATGTGGCTGGGTGGTGGGGGCAGGGCACGACAGAACTCAGAGTCAGCAGGATGCAAGTTTCCCCCAGGAAGAGCAGCAGGCAGCAGAAAAGCCTGAACCTCAAAGGTCTGCAAGACTGTGGGGAGAGAGAGGCTTTTACTGGGAGGCACAGCTGGCAGAGGCATAGCAAGGGAGAGCCTCCATCTCTACCTGCCCCTGTGCCTGCCAAGCTCCCTCCAGGGTTCTGGAAACAGGAATGTTCTGGCTTGGAGTCAGCAACCAGCCCCTTTGAGACTTTGGTTCCATGTCAGTGGGGCTCCTAAGAGTGTTTGCTGAGACGTGAAGGTCTCCAAGCAAGTGCTACACCCCAGCTCAGGCCTGGTTACCTATCAGGGGCTCCACACATCTTCAGGTTGTGTCATCTTGCGGTGACGCACCCTCCCTTCCACAGTGTGGGAGGTGATTCACAGCAGGCAGAAAGTGCCTCCTGGTGGTGACCTGCTAATTCTCATCTCACTCTTCTCAAAAACACCTCCCTCTGTGCAGCCCCACTGGGTGCCAGGGGACAGGAGGAATCCCCTAAGCTGGTGGGTTGCATGAATCTCATCCTTGAGCCTCACTGAGGGCCCCAGTAAAGACAGCTGGGGAACAATTAGCAGAGCTGTGAGGAGGGTGGGAGGAGCTGGAAGTGAGCCCTGTATCACTGTGTCTGCCTTCCCAGGTGTCTTCCCCTGTGCCTCTCCCTGTCCTGACTCCCAGAGCTTGTCCCTAGAATCCTCTACTCCTGTGCTTCCCAGTGGCCCTTCCTCATCCAGTCACCTCAGTGGTCCCAGGCTCACTTACTTCAGCCTCTTTCCAGCTAGGGTTACCAAGCACTCAAAAAAATACCCTGCAGCTTAGGTTAGGACAATGGTTTCGAAAAATGGCACTGTGATTCCGGGGGCTAAGAATTGTACATTCAAGGCCTGTGTGGAGTACAGATAGTTCTAAGCCAGCCTGGGCAACTTAGTAGGGGATGAGGGGGTGGGAATATAGCTCAGTGGTAGACCAGTTGCCTTACATGCATAAGGTCCTGTGTTCAATCCCAGTACAGAGTGGGGCAGGGGTGGGGGAGGAGAAGAGAAGGGAATGGAGGGGAAGAGGAGGGAGGAGAGGGGAGAGAAGGGAAGGGAAGGGTTAGGAAGGGGAGGACACTGAGCAGAGGAAGGGAAGCTGGGTCATCAGAACCAAAGGGCAGGAAGTTGCTGCCCTGCCGGCATGATTGCAGTCAACACACGTACCTCGAGAGCACGGTGCAGCTCTGTGGAAGCAATCTGAGCCACATACTGCCAAGAGCAACATTTCCACTCTGGCTGGTTAAGGGGGGTAGGCAAGGGATTTGAATCTGGCCAGAAAAACTTATCCTTTGTTAGGTAGTAGTGTTGCCCCCAATAAAAGTAGATCAGTCTACCTCCTCTAAGGAAACCTTTGGAGACTTAGTCTGAAAAGGCACAGACAGGAAAGTTCTGGACAATGGTGGCTTCTGCCTCTCACCCACCCGCCCAGCCACTTCTGAGGGGGCGCTTCAGAACTTGCTCTCCAGGCAGGAGCAGGTCTCAACAGGAGAAGCTCAGGACAAACTCATGCCCAGGCAGAAGGAGGAGTTCAGCAAAGCCTCCTCAGCTCCTGGGCTTCCCCTCCTACCCTTCCCACACACACCCCACAGGCCCAGCCAGGCCTACCCAGGCTTCCTGGACCTTCCCTGACTAGCTAGGAGGGGGTTCCCCTCCCCTCCCACTCAGACGGTCTCCCTCCTCCCCGTGTCCCAGATAGCATCATGATGACCCAGCAATGGAGACTCAGTCACACCACCGAGGAGAGGCAGATCTCTGGGATTACACCCAGGGTTCCTGACAAGAGAAACTGTCACAGCAGCAAAACCTCCAGCCTGGAGTTGCCAGGGCGACTCCTCCCCCCCTCCACCCACCACC